TGATTGATCAATCAATCACGCAAGCCTTGTCTCAATTCCCGCCTCCACCAAATGCTCCTTCACACTCTCGATGGAAACTTCTTGGCGATGGAAGATGCCAGCTGCGAGCGCGGCGGAGGCCTGGCTCTGTTGGAACACCTCGGAGAAATGGGAGGGCTTCCCAGCTCCACTGCTGGCAATCACAGGTATGGTGACAGCCTCGGAAATCATCTTGACAAGCTCGAGATCGAACCCGCATCCTTGGCCGTCCATATCGATACAATTCAAGAGAATCTCTCCCGCTCCCAAGTCCTCCACTGCTTTCGCAAGCTCGTACGCGCCTATGGGCCTCCCTTCTCTCCCGCCTTTAACTGTGCATTGATACCATGCATACTCCTCCCCATCGGGACCAGGTTCACTCAATTTCACAGTCTTGTACGGCACCTCCTCTGGGCTTTTCACGTACACCTTTCGCGGGTCAATACTTACGACCACCGCCTGATTACCATACACGTAGGAAATCTGCTCGAGACTGCTCTTCCCCGTCTTCACCCCCGTTCGTAGATACTCCTCCGCCGCCATCACCGCATCGCTACCGATGGAAATTTTGTCAGCGCCTGACCTGAAGTACTCCGCGGCCACCTCCAGGCTTGAGTAGTACCTCCCCTCCTTGTCCGTGAAGTCTCTGATCCCGCCGCCGACCGTCAAAGGGACAAACACCGTCTCCGAGGCCTTCCGCAGAACCTCCAACATTGGCATATCACCGAGCGGGAAATCTCTGAAGCCGGTAATATTTAGGAACGTCACCTCGTCGGCGCCTTCCTTGAAGTATCTTCCCGCCAGTTCCACAGGTTTGCCCAGGTTGCGCACCTCCCGCTCATCCCCCTCCTCCCGCACGTCGTACTGATCCCCCTTAGTGACCACCAGGTCGCCGCGGTCGTTCGCCCGAACGTCCAGACAGGCAATCACGCGCTTGGCAAGCTTCGAAGCCCGCGATCGCGATCGCGATCTCTGCTCCGATGTCTGTGACGAGACGATCGGGATCCCATCATCCCTCTCTCCTCCTCCTTGTAAGAAACGCCGCAGCACATCCAATCCCACCTCCCCGCTCTTCTCGGGATGGAACTGTACCGCGTAGACGTCTCCCTTGTTGATTGCCCCGATGAACTCCCCGCCGTAATTGCTGGTTGCCAGGACCCAATCAGCATTCTCGCTCGTCATGGTCGCCCTGTAGGAGTGCACGAAGTACACGTGGCGACCGTCCACACCCTTCAAAAGGGAAGATTCCTTTCTCTCTCGCAGAGCGTTCCATCCAATGTGCGGGACCGGAAGTCCGGCTGACGTGTCAAACTTCTGTACGCCTCCAGGCACAAGTCCCAACCCCTCAACCCCGCCGTTCTCCTCGCTGTAATCGAACAACAGCTGCAGGCCCAGGCAGATTCCAAGAAACGGCCGTCCCGACCGCACGTACTCGCTCAATGGATCAGCCAACCCTTTCTCCTTCAGCACTTTGATGGCCGATTCAAACGCACCGACCCCTGGAAACACTAATCGATCGGCGGTGGCAATATCCTCTGGTTTCTCCACATCGCGGATGCCAAACCCCAAAAGTCTGATCGCATTCCGCACACTGCGAACATTTCCCGCACCGTAATCCAGAAGCGTCACCTCTCCGCGCCCTCGACCGTCCGCTCCCTCCCTCATAATACTAGTAGGACGTGAATCGCGACGGGGCGGGGAGATGGAGGCGATCCCGATCCCTTGCTCAAGGGATTCTTGTTCTAGGGGTGGCGGCGGGAGGCGGTCGCTACCCGTCGCCGTCGTCTTGCTCGCTTCCATCCGAACACGTGGCGCCTTTGCATTGTGCGTTCGTCGCACGTTGCGCAGGCAGGTTCCCGCGCAACCTGCCGACGACCCCGACCCCGACCCCGACGACATTTGCTTTCCCGCCAAGAAGATGGAACGAGAGCACGTGTCCCCAGAGATCGCGCGCCGAGCCGCAATGCGTGACGAACGGCATTCCTGCCGTCTAGCTGCCTGATGACACGTGGCAAGATGGCAAGTGGAGTTGCGGTTGCCTGCCGCCGCGGGGAAGGACAGGCCGTCATTCGACACCCCCGCTCCCGCTCCCGCTCCCGCCGCCGCCGCCACCGCTGAGTGCAACAGCGCCTGCGCACGAGTTGAGAATGCGGTGGCCATGGCTATCTTCTATTCCACGTTGGTCCCACTCTCTTGTCCGACTGCCTCCTCTCCTCCTTCCTTCGGCGCGGCCGGCGCGGCGCTCAAATCCCGATCGAGATGATCCAGACCTGGAGGATCGCGATCTCGACCTCGACGTAAGCATTCAGTGAAACGTGCCTCTGTCGCAGCGGGGAGGACAGCAGTGATGATTGATTGATTGATTGATTGCATGGGATTACCCTAGTCCGACGTGTGTGTGTGAGAAGCGGAGCATTCCTTCGAGGCGCTCCTACCTGAAAAGGAACGCCTGCTAGCCTGCCACGTGGCGAAGGTTTCACTCACTCTCGCGCCAATCTGCGCACCTGCCATACCTGGCAATCGACACGCACCCATCCGCCGCCATAGCCGACAATGGACCGACGGATCACCCTTACACCCGCCCTTACGGGAAACTACCATGGCCAGCTATGGGAACCCACCAGGGTACCGGTCCCCGGTTGCTGGACGTGGTAAACACGTCTCTCCCTCGTTGTCGGGGTTTGGGTAAGTCCATTCGCTGCTCCCACGTGACGATCTTTTTCGTACATTTAAATTTTATATAAATTTCTCTCAATTTCACTTCTCACTACCTACCTATCACTACTCCTAAGCCTATGCGTGTGACCCTTGCTTTTTTTTTTTTTTTCACTAAGTGCACAAACCTGGAGCAGTAGGCCGTGGGTGTCCTGGACAGGGGCCATGCTAAGGACCCATGCAACGTGAGAGGACGCGGGAAACCAACATAACTGATATCGCACGGAGGTCATCTCTCCACTGGGTATGTCACAGAACAGGGGCCATGTCCCACAGTGACTGGGTTGTGCGACCTTTGGTAGAGCGTCGGTTTCTGGACCCACGACAGGTACCTATCTACAGTCAGCAACTTAGGTAATACGAAGCATGGACTGAACAAAACGGTGTTGCTCCATGGGTGGACACTTTCTAGAATTATCTCCATGCGTCAATTGGCTGGTTTTCGTTTTTTGCATGGTGCCTGGTAATGCAAGAACCGTGTGCAGGGATGGCAGGAATTCTGTGAAGAGCCAAATGATGCGGGCGGCCTTTGCGTTGTCAATGGTGGAACGGTGGGGTACCCATAAGTTCAGGGTGCATGTCAGGTGACAGTGTTTGCCCAAAAGTGCAGGTCAGATGTGGTTTGGACGTCGTGAGCCATGATTACCTTCTTGCATTCTTATCTCTTTTTGTGCCACCCTCATAATGGCCACACGCTGCCACACATGTCTAGAAACCAGAACTAAGGGCCTAGATGGCGAAGTAGGGCAACTACTGCTTAGCCAGGGTGGGTCTAGAGTGACGACCTAGGCTACGCTCTCACTAGGTAGGGCCACTATACTTAGAGAGGTGCGAGAACATCACCTATTGTCTTAATAGGTATAAGTGGGGTTGTCTTGCCAATCGTGATAGGTTCAGTAAGGTGCAAGCGCTGGAATCGGAGAAGGTTGTGGTGAGGCTTGATCTTTAGAGCGGGGCTCAGGAGTCGAGATGTTATCTCATGAGGATTACACATCCCCCTTGTATTATATGCTTCGTTTTGCACAAACGACAAAATTTATGGTGTATCTTTTCATGTTCTAGTGGAAGATTCACTCTCGTTTTGCACATTTTGTGAATAGTGGAGCGAGGACCTAAACCCTGTTAATGGGACATTGTCATAAAGTCTCGAAATCTCTCCACAATAACTTATTGGGACCACTAGGACCTACCTTCTTCACCATCACTATAGGGGTACCTCTCAGTCTTCATACAACCGAGCAATAATGACCGTATATAGTGTTCAGATGGAGAAGATAGTTGCATCGCTTGTTATCGACATTTTCAATGCATTTGGGCATTGTTTGTCCAGATGCACTCAAAATCTTGGCGGATGGCAAGTGGTGCAACTAATCCCTTACCCGGCTTCGGTGTGCAAAGCTTGAGGGGAAACTTTGGGAACAAAAAGTGGCCAAATTGCACTGATATCTTTTCCTTTTTTTTTTTTTTTTTTTCTTTTTTTTTTTTTTTTTGAAAACACAACTTCAATCATCCATGCGAAGCAACACATGCTAGGAGACGGGCATATTGTCCCTTATCGAAGTATCAAATTAAGATTTATCAACATTAATTTCCTTTAGCGATGCAGTATTTTTTACCCTTCCTTGTCCAGCTTCGAGACGCACTAAAAAAAAATAAAAAAATAAAAAATGGCGTGGCCAGCCATTTTGAATCAGCAAGTTAACCCCTAAAAATTTCGCCCGCGTGCATGTTATGTGGGATAATAATGGCAGGGAAACTATTGTTGACGTAGATTCTCTTCCTCGAAGATAAATGAAAAATGTTGGACAATGGACTACATATGTCTATTCAAATTGTCGTTAGTAATAATGCTGAATTTTCATACATTGTTGGCTAATTAGTCTGGTCAAACCATGATGTCTCTACTAGCAAATATGTTGATGGTGGAAAAGTATGTGGAAACTTATCCGCTGGTCTCATTGAAAAGGAAATATCAATCATAGCCCAATCATGAAAAATTTCGCGAACACCTTCCATATTTGTACATCTACGCATATCATTGCAATTGTGTTTTTTTTTTGTATACCATCAATTTTTTACTGAACTAGTTACACATTTTTTGTTATGCATTTAGATTCATTAAGTAGTTTCATTTTTTTTACAGCACATAATTTTGTTTATTCAAGATTGTATTTTAGATATAGTTAATGTTTGTCTCGAGTAAGTTTTGTCCCTTGATCCATATATCCTCTTAACCATATTTGCATCTTCAGGACCAAATGAAGTATATAATTATTTTTTTCTTTGTGTGAAATAAATTTGTTTTAAAATCTCACTCAATGTATTGTTTGTTATGAGCAAGGTGGATTGTTTTTCAACCTCAAGGCCAACTAGTTTTAGGTACTATGATCTATCTGCAAATTTTGTTTCATCATCTCAACAACAATAATGATTATGAGGGATATACAAACCAATGTTTTATTGTTTCTCTCACCTCTTTCTATGGGTCACTTGAAAATATTTTTTTAAGAAAGGAGTATAATGTTTTTTTTTTCAATTTATTACGATCAATCGATCGATGTCTTTTTAACGAACATTTATGTATAACATGATATAAAGAGGAATAAAATGATATTGATTTAGTCTTATAATCCTTTGCAAATTCAATATTTTGAAACTTCTTTATTTCGAAGATAAACTTCAACTGATTTTTACTTTGATATTGCTAAGATTGTCTTAAATGATTTTGTTGTTGATCCCTTGATCGAGTTTCAGTTAGTCGGGTGATATATGATGTCATCAATCCTAATGTATATCTAATGCATTGACCTTGTTTCCTTTTTGTTAACACCTTAATTCGACAAGCTAGGTTCATTGGGATCTAAAAAAAAATAGTTTTAGAATAATTTTTGGTTTTCCAGTTCTTTATACCACATTTTTTTATATTAGAAAATTGGCTTAATCCACCGTAGTATGTTTCTTATTACCCTGACAATATCATTGCATCTGACCTAGTCATGTTCTTCAATTTTTTTTTTTTTTTTTTTAAATATTGTGCTACTAGAAAGAATCATAACGATGACTTATTTTTAACTTCAACTTGTTTTGATATTGTGACAATAAGATAATAATTTTATTAATTCATCAAGGTTTTGCATTTGTTTTTATTTATCTTAAATATAAATTTGGATAAACTATTTTTTTACTATAGTAGTGGGTGGACGCATTGTCGGGCGACCACAATAAGTCGACCTCCCGAAATAGAGCAAATTGAGTCTTCGACTGAACGCTTAGATGATTTTTTTTGGGGATTCTTGTCCGACACGTAGGGAGAAATTAGGGAGTCTAGGATAAACTCTGAATTTTCCTTAATGACAGACCGATACTAAACCTTAATCTTTGGTAATCGGATGAGGATTTCTACCCTCCCCAATGCTCACCTTTTCCGTTTGTTTTGAGACTGCCTTCGAATCAGCCGGCTGTGGGGCGAGGGTAGGCATGTGAACCTTCGCACAACCTTTTACACTGACCAGCTGACGAGAAAATGAGGCTTTGAATATTATTTAATTTAACGATGAAATTATAGATAAGTAATAAAATTAAAAATGATAAAAGAGAAACGAAAATAAACGATTATTCTATTATTTACCATTTTCTGACCAATTACGCTTTTGTTTATTTTAACTCCGATTTACCTGTTTATTTATACTCGTCGATTTAAATGGATTTTATTTATTTATTTTTCCTCGTTGAATTTTATCAGGTTTACCTGATTATTACCCTTGCTATAACCCAAGGATTATTGAGTGCGGCGTACCCGTAACTTGTTGGATTCCCATAGCATGTTGAGTTGTGTGCATGAATTATGATAGACACTCAATCGTTGAGCAGTAGTTATTCCAACACTTCAATGAGTTGGACCTTTGGTGGTTGGATCCGTGAGACTGTTTTTCTGTTATGACGTCTAAGGTAGAGTGATCCGGATGTTGGTTCGGAACAGTCACAACGCAGTGGCGTTTCGACTCCTATCCCATGATACGATACTACAGTCCGGTTCGGGCCTGTTGCAACTCACTCTTGTCCTATGTCACAAAATTTGGCGTGGGTACGACCAATGTGCGAGTTGTAATAGCATTTGGTCCGATGGTACTGTTGTAACTCTTCCCGATTGATGACATTATCTCGATGGGGTCTACTGCAGTTTGGCATAATTTTGATACGCCCGCTGATTCGATAATGAGTACTGGATCCATATTTTGGGTACGAGTGTCAACCGAGACTATACTTGACAAATCTATGCTGAGACAACTTACAATATTACAGGTGACAACTATTCTAGTTCACGGGGGCCCAGATCAGGACCACCGGGCCTAAAGCCTCATAACAAATTGGACTACTGCTATTGGTGGGAGATGCCCTCAGTTTGTGGGGCTCATACTGCGGGTGCGGGCAGTGTCAACCCTCACTTGTGAACAGGTACCTACAGTAGGGGACTGTTGCTGTCCCCTGACTTGAGGCCATAACCTTGGGGGAAAATAGTGGGGGTCAGCGAGGTTTGAGGGACGGATGAGAACAGTGTGCCCTGTGTACTCGACGTTCGAGCGATTCGATCAGGGATATGCACATGGAGTACACAGCGAGTGGACATGTAAACACACGAACCAACCGTGACAGGAAGGAATGCTCGTTGCGGGAAGATGCTCATGGAGAGTGTGCACAACGTACAAGCATGTGATCAAGCAAGGAATAAACCGGCTGGTTTAGCCCCACCCCGGGGCTATACTATCTACTTGCCACACGAGATAAGGGAGGTAACTGCGGCAGCAGGCGTCCCT